TAAAATTATTCAGCTCAAACTGGCAATCATGCCAAGATTGAGAAATCGTGCACTGGAATGAAGAGCCAATCACTTGAGACGTTGAGGTTGAGGGTGTGAAGGGGCAGCCCACAGCAGGGAGTAGCTGGGAATCTGAGGGCAGGGAGAGTTAGGATAAGGGAGGAGGAGAAGTGTGAATAAGAAGCCTGGATGGGTGAGGATGTAGAGAGTTTATCAGCTACATATGGGAAGGGAATTGATGTTTAAAGAAGATGTTTAGAGATGTGTTCCAGGTGAGCCACTGTGGGAAGCCCTCTCCCATCTACACTGGTCTGCTACCTATTGGAACATACCCTCTCCGGGGCTTGTTATACCCTCACCATCCCACAAGCTTGCCCAACTCACCATATTTTATTGTTATTGTTGTTTTCTTTTAAGCTTTTGGCAGCCTGAAGCCATGGTTCTTGGTTTATGTCTCTGATGAGAAGCAGAAAAGAAATGAGGAAGGGGTTTTACTGGCCCAACCAGAAATAGAACTAAGAATCCATGGCTGTATTCTCTCCCTTGACATCCCTGAAAAAGAAATGGTTATAAATGCTTTAGATCTGTTCAATCATTCTAATCTTAGTGGCATGATACATTTCTTCTATAAAATTTAAAATTTTATTTTGGAAGTAGGACCTTTGGATATTTCAGTGCCTGAAAACAAGTGAATAAATCACCAACGTTGAAATACTAGGCACTGGTAAAGTATGCAAGGGAAATATTTTCAAAGTAGACAGAGATTGCAATTATATCCTTCAAATTAATTCTTACTGGGGACTTTTTACCAAGCTGCTGGCAAAACTATTTGATTAAAGACAGTAATTTATAATCTGATATTATGGGTGGTCCGGAAATAATCCTGATACAATGCATGTTTTCCTGTGTGTCTGTGTGTACAGATGTACACATGTGCAGTGGGTTGGAGGCTGACTTATCTGTGTTATATTGTTTATATTTATATACATATATAAATGTATATATACATAAACACACATACACATTCATATGCATATTTTCGCTAACAGCTTGCTTCTAAATTCTTTTTTTTTTTTTTTTTAATTGAAACGGAATCTCACTCTGTCACCAGGCTGGAGTCCAGTAGCTCGATCTCAGCTGACTGCAACCTCCACCTCCCCGGTTCTAGTGATTCTCCTGCATCAGCCTCCTGAGTAGCTGGAACTGCAGGTGCGTGCCACCATGCCAAGCTAATTTTTGTATTTTTAGTATAGTTTGGGTTTCACAATGTTGGCCAGGATGGTCTTGAGCCCTTGGCCTTGTGATCCACCCACCTTGGCCTCCCAAAGTTCTGGAATTATAGGTGTGAGCCACAGCGCCTGTCCCCTAAATTCATTTTTTACCATGGCTTTTGAATTTAATTTAAACAGCCCAGACTTTTCATTCCCATAATGGTTATTCCACTTTTTTGATGATATTTAAAAAATATACTTGAAGAATCGCTTGAACCCTGGAGGTGGAGGTTGTGGTGAGCCAAGATTGAGCCATTGCACTCCAGCCTGGGCAACAAGAGTGAAACGCGATCTCAAAAAACAAAACAAAGGTATATATATGCATGTTCTAACTTTGCCATGTTTATCTCTAAAATAGGGCTAAGATTTTACATTTCATGTAGCTTTTGAAACGATTAGCTGCTTCAAACCATCACACAGTGACAGGCAAGAAACCCAACCACACCTATCACCATTTTAGTGAGTGTGATTAGGTACAATTGGGGTCAGAAGTGAGAACCAAAAAATAGAGGAAAAGGATGAGATTTAGTAGTGTTGATACCTGTTGCAACTTAGAATTTCCATCTCTAAATATGAACTCTAAAGGGGAACTTTGATAACCTGCCAAAAGAGTTAAAAATATTGATACTTATGTTTGTAATGCACAAAACTGGGAATAATTTTAAATTTCCATTATTAAGAGGAATGTG